CTGGTAACGAATGGAGTGGCCTGTTTACAGTCAGCTGTTGGTGTGCTGGTAACGAATGGAGTGGCCTGTTTACAGTCAGCTGTTGGTGTGCTGGTATCGAATGGAGTGGCCTGTTTACAGTCAGCTGTTGGTGTGCTGGTAACGAATGGAGTGGCCTGTTTACAGTCAGCTGTTGGTGTGCTGGTATCGAATGGAGTGGCCTGTTTACAGTCAGCTGTTGGTGTGCTGGTATCGAATGGAGTGGCCTGTTTACAGTCAGCTGGTATCGAATGGAGTGGCCTGTTTACAGCCAGCTGTTGGTGTGCTGGTATCGAATGGAGTGGCCTGTTTAGTCAGCTGTTGGTGTGCTGGTAACGAATGGAGTGGCCTGTTTACAGCCAGCTGTTGGTGTGCTGGTATCGAATGGAGTGGCCTGTTTACAGCCAGCTGTTGGTGTGCTGGTATCGAATGGAGTGGCCTGTTTACAGCCAGCTGTTGGTGTGCTGGTATCGAATGGAGTGGCCTGTTTACAGTCAGCTGTTGGTTTGCTGGTATCGAATGGAGTGGCCTGTTTAGTCAGCTGTTGGTGTGCTGGTATCGAATGGAGTGGCCTGTTTACAGTCAGCTGGTATCGAATGGAGTGGCCTGTTTACAGCCAGCTGTTGGTGTGCTGGTATCGAATGGAGTGGCCTGTTTACAGCCAGCTGTTGGTGTGGTGGTATCGAATGGAGTGGCCTGTTTACAGTCATCTGTTGGTGTGCTGGTAACGAATGGAGTGGCCTGTTTACAGTCATCTGTTGGTGTGCTGGTATCGAATGGAGTGGCCTGTTTACAGCCAGCTGTTGGTGTGCTGGTATCGAATGGAGTGGCCTGTTTACAGCCAGCTGTTGGTGTGCTGGTATCGAATGGAGTGGCCTGTTTACAGTCAGCTGTTGTTTTGCTGGTAACGAATGGAGTGGCCTGTTTAGTCAGCTGTTGGTGTGCTGGTATCGAATGGAGTGGCCTGTTTAGTCAGCTGTTGGTGTGCTGGTATCGAATGGAGTGGCCTGTTTAGTCAGCTGTTGTGTGCTGGTAATCGAATGGAGTGGCCTGTTTACAGTCATCTGTTGGTGTGCTGGTATCGAATGGAGTGGCCTGTTTACAGTCAAGCTGTTGGTGTGCTGGTAACGATGGAGTGGCCTGTTTACAGCCAGCTGTTGGTGTGCTGGTATCGAATGGAGTGGCCTGTTTACAGTCAGCTGTTGGTGTGCTGGTATCGAATGGAGTGGCCTGTTTAGTCAGCTGTTGGTGTGCTGGTATCGAATGGAGTGGCCTGTTTACAGTCATCTGTTGGTGTGCTGGTAACGAATGGAGTGGCCTGTTTAATCAGCTGTTGGTGTGCTGGTATCGAATGGAGTGGCCTGTTTAGTCAGCTGTTGGTGTGCTGGTATCGAATGGAGTGGCCTGTTTACAGCCAGCTGTTGGTGTGCTGGTATCGAATGGAGTGGCCTGTTTACAGCCAGCTGTTGGTGTGCTGGTATCGAATGGAGTGGCCTGTTTACAGCCAGCTGTTGGTGTGCTGGTATCGAATGGAGTGGCCTGTTTACAGTCAGCTGTTGGTGTGCTGGTAACGAATGGAGTGGCCTGTTTAGTCAGCTGTTGGTGTGCTGGTATCGAATCCATTTACACCTTTTTAAAGCTTCAATCCGCAGTTGAAACAATAACAAAGCTTAATTTTTTTCCCACCCAACACAAACAAATGGGCTATAACTACACAACGTTACCACTTTGTTTACCCAGAGGGACATGCAGCGATGTATTATCAGTAGCCTACAGTTGATCAGCCTGAAAAATCATCTTGTTTTCAACCCGTAAAGCATGTCAAATCGCTAATGTTTAGGTGTAGGCTTCTGCAACGTTTATGTAAAGAGTTTTTGCTTGTCTGTCGGGAGGGATGTCTTATCACCAGGGTTGGGTAGGTCACTTTACCCAAACTCAGTAACGTAAGGGTTCAATTCTCGGGCCGACTCTATTCTCTGTGTATATCAATGATGTCGCTCTTGCTGCTGGTGACTCTCAGATCCACCTCTACGCAGACGACACCATTTTGTATACATCTGGCCCTTCATTGGACACTGTGTTAACAAACCTCCAAACGAGCTTCACTGCCATACAACACTCCTTCAGTAGCCTCCAACTGCTCTTAAACACTAGTAAAACTAAATGCATGCTCTTCAACCGAACGCTGCTGGCACCCTCCCGCCCGAATAGAATCACTACTCTCGGTGGGTCTGACTTAGAATATGTGGACAACTACAAATACCTAGGTGTCTGGTTAGACCGTAAACTCTCCTTCCAGACTCACATTAAGCATCTCCAATCCAAAGTTACATCTAGAATCGGCTTCCTATTTCGCAAAAAAGCCTCCTTCACTCATGCTGCTAAACATGCCCTCGTAAAACTGACTATCCTACCGATCCTTGACTTCGGCGATGTCATTTACAAAATAGCTTCCAACACTTTGCTCAGCAAATTGGATGTAGTCTATCACAGTGGCATCCGTTTTGTCTCCAAAGCCCCATATACTACCCACCATTGTGACCTGTACGCTCTCGTTGGCTGGCCCTCACTACATATTCGTCGCCAAACCCACTGGCTCCAGGCCATCTATAAATCACTGCTAGGCAAATCCCTGCCTTATCTTAGCTCATTGGTCACCATAGCAACACCCACCCGTAGTATGCGTTCCAGCAGGTATATCTCACTGGTTATCCCCAAAGCCAACACCTCCTTTGGTCGCCATTCCTTCCAGTTCTCTGCTGCAAATGACTGGAACAAACTGCAAAAATCTCTGAAGCTGGAGACACTTATCTCCCTCACTAACTTTAAGCATCAGTTGTCAGAGCACCTTACCGATCACTGTACCTGTACACAGCCCATCTGTAATTAGCCCATCCAACTACCTCATCCCCATATTGTTATTTATTTTGCTCATTTGCACCTCAGTATCTCTATTTGCACATCTCTTGCACATCTATCATTCCAGTGTTAATACTAAATTGTAATTATTTTGCACTATGGCCTATTTATTGCCTTACCTCCATAACTTACTACATTTGCACACACTGTATATATATTTTCTATTGTGTTATTGACTGTACGTTTTGTTTACCCCATATGTGTTGTTGTTGTTTTTACCGCACTGCTTTGCTTTATCTTGGCCAGGTCGCAGTTGGAAATGAGAACTTGTTCTCAACTGGCTTACCTGATTACGTTACTGAGTTTCCCCCTAACTCAGTAACGTAATCTGATTGCTTTCAGTTACTATTTGATTGCCAAAGTCAATACTTTGTAAAGCCACCGTTTGCAGCAATTACAGCTGCAAGTCTCTTGGGGTATGTCTCTATAAGCTTGGCACATCTAGCCACTGGGATTTTTGCCCATTCTTCAAGGCAAAACTGCTCCAGCTCCTTCAAGTTGGATGGGTTCCACTGGTGTACAGCAATCTAAGTCATACCACAGATTCTCAATTGGATTGAGGTCTGGGCTTTGACTAGGCCATTCCAAGACATTTAAATGTTGCCCCTTAAACCACTCAAGTGTTGCTTTAGCAGTATGCTTAGGGTCATTGTCCTGCTGAAAGGTGAACCTCCGTCCCAGTCTCAAATCTCTGGAAGACTGAAACAGGTTTCCCTCAAGAATTTCCCTGTATTTAGCGCCATCCATCATTCCTTCAATTGACCAGTTTCCCAGGCCCTGCCAATGAAAAACATCCCCACAGCATGATGCTGCCACCACCATGCTTCACTGTGGGGATGGTGTTCTCTGGGTGATGAGAGGTGTTGGGTTTGCGCCAGACATAGCGTTTTCCTTGATGGCCAAAAAGCTCAATTTTAGTCTCATCTGACCAGAGTACCTTCTTCCATATGTTTGGGGAGTCTTTTCTTTAAGCAATGGCTTTTTTTTCTTCATATCAAGAAGCTGATCATTACACAGGTGCACCTTGTGCTGGGGACAAAAGCCACTCTAAAATGTGCAGTTTTGTCACACAACACAATGCCACAGATGTCTCAAATTTTGAGGGAGCGTGCAATTGACATGCTGACTGCAGGAATGTCCACCAGGGCTGTTGCCAGAGAATTGAATGCTAATTTCTCTACCATAAGCCAACGTCGTTAAAGAGAATTTCGCAGTAAGTCCCACTGGTCTCACAATCGCAGACCCACCTGCATGATGATGTGTGGGCGAGCGGTTTGCTGATGTCAACGTTGTGAACAGAGTTCCCCATTGTGGGGTTATGGTATTGGAAGGCATAAGCTACAGACAATGAACTCAATTGCATTTTATCGATGGCAATTTGAATGCACAGAGATACCGTGATGAGATCCTGAGGCCCATTGTCATGTCATTCATCCGCCGCCATCACCTCATGTTTCAGCATGATAATGAACGGCCGGCCCTATGTCGCATGGATCTGTACACAGTTCCTGGAAGCTGAAAATGTCCCAGTTCTTCCATGAAACGTCACCCATTGAGCATGTTTGGGAAGCTCTGGGTTGACGTGTACGACGGCGTGTTCCAGTTTCCGCCGATATCCAGCAACTTCGTACAGCCATTGAAGCGTGGTGGGACAACATTCCACAGGGCCACAATCAACAGCCTGATCAACTCTATGCGAAGGAGATGTCACGCTACATGAGGCAAAAGGTGGTCACACCAGATAATGATTAGTTTTCTGATCCACACCTTTATCTTTTTCTTAAGGTATCTGTGATCAACCGATGCAGAGCTGTATTCCCAGTCATGTGAAATCCACAGATCACGGCCTAATGAATTTATTTCAGTTGGCTGATTTCCTTATATGAACTGTAACTCAGTAAAATCTTTGAAATTGTGGCATGGATGTATGGATGGATGGATGGATGGATGGATGCGTTATCCAATTGTGTTCAGCTCCCCTCGGTGCTACACAGGAAGCACATGTTCACCCTCTCGCTTTCTCTCTCTCTCCCTCTCCCTCGCTTTCTCCCCCCCCGCCAGGTCCCTTCACTGATGTAGTCACCACCAACCTGAAGCTAAAGAACCCATCTGATGGAAGAGTATGTTTCAAAGTGAAGACCACAGCTCCCAGGAGATACTGCGTACGGCCAAACAGCGGCATCATCGATGCCGGTGCTACCGTCACCATCTCTGGTGAGTCCAGTTACTAGGGGGTGTGAACGTTTTTTTAAAATTGGTATCCTTAATGTTTAGAAAAATCGCTAACGGGAAAAAACGTTATATTTTTTTATTTCCCTCCGCAAAATAAAAATCCCAGTGCCTGCTCTTTCGCTAACGATACGAGTGTGTCTTCTGTCTTCGGTCTGTTGCGTGTAGAATGTATTCATTGATGATTGGCCCTGCTTTACTGAAAATAGGCTCTAGCCATACATTTCTACACTAGGACTTTGTAGAATTATACAGAACGTATATCAGTGACTAAACAAATAACTGTTATATTTTTTTACATGGATATATTTCCACAAATATTTATTCATGCAATTCATGGTTTACAATTTATTTCACTATTTATCACACCTTGGTGCTGATGTTGCGGGTTGATTATGCACCTGGGAGGGTAAAGGCGGGTCTAGTGTTTTAAAAAGCCGTAGTGTACCCTTACAAACAAACAAACAAACAAACAAACAAACAAACCGTAGTGTAAACAAACAAGCCGTAGCCGAGATGCTTTCAAAGGTAGAAGGCTGCAGTAGATAGAACTTTGTTGGCCGGCCCGAGCGCTCACACATACGGAATAGGACCATTATTCTGCGTGGGATTCTAGATTTGTTTTCTTATGGTTTTTTTAAATGGAAAACCAATAAAGTGGCTGTTTTTTTAAACGTTAAGCAAAACTGTCCATTTGTTACATCCCTACCAGCAACCGCTCAGAGAATGGGACTCTCGGGCTGGAATTACGTAGTATTGGAATAATATTGCATGACATCCCCCATGCGATAAACTTGGACTGTAACGCCCAGTCTTCCCAGCTCGCGGTCAGTAGTCCCTAACTAGGGAAACCATTATTCATTAATTTATTATCTGATGGTGTCCTGAAGTAGGAACGGCATCTAAACTGTACTAGGTTAGCTTGTCCTGGTCTAAAAAACATGTTCAATGGAGGATCAAGTGCTTTTTAGTGCAGCCAGGACTAGTCCTTTAGCTTATACAGGGATTGACATTCACTTTGTCTTTTAGCCACTTTTCCCTCCAGATTTTTGGGGTTTTTTTTGTCTGAAAGCTCAAGTCACAGGCCAAAAAGTTGTGTTGTAATGATGCAAGGAACCACTTCATAAAATAACCTTCATTATTGTCACTGGTGTTGACAATGGAAGGCTGCTGCTCTCTGATCCCATGTATTATATCTCCTGCCGTTGTGTCCTTGAGCAAGGCACTTAACCCCCCCCCCCACACACACAAAGTAAAATACTGATCTGAGAGGCTGCTGTATAAAACGCATGTGGTCCATCAACCTTTCATCTGGAGAGATACCGGGTGTGCAGGCTTTTGATCCAACCCTGCTCAAACACACGAGTCAGCTTATCAAGGTCCTGTTGAGCAGCGGATTTTTGACAATGTGGGTGTGTTAGAGCAGGGCTGGAGTAAAAGCCTGCACACCCAGTATCTCTCCTGGACTCTCCTGGAGGACGGTTGGCCTCCCTGCACACCCAGTATCTCTCCTGGAGGACGGTTGGCCTCCCTGCACACCCAGTATCTCTCCTGGACTCTCTTGGAGGACGGTTGGCCTCCCTGCACACCCAGTATCTCTCCTGGAGGACGGTTGGCCTCCCTGCACACCCAGTATCTCTCCTGGAGGACGGTTGGCCTCCCTGCACGCCCAGTATCTCTCCTGGAGGACGGTTGGCCTCCCTGCACACCCAGTATCTCTCCTGGAGGACGGTTGGCCTCCCTGCACGCCCAGTATCTCTCCTGGAGGACGGTTGGCCTCCCTGCACGCCCCAGTATCTCTCCTGGAGGACGGTTGGCCTCCCTGCACGCCCCAGTATCTCTCCTGGAGGACGGTTGGCCTCCCTTCACACCCAGTATCTCTCCTGGAGGACGGGTTGGCCTCCCTGCACACCCAGTATCTCTCCTGGAGGACGGTTGGCCTCCCTGCACACCCAGTATCTCTCCTGGAGGACGGTTGGCCTCCCTGCACACCCAGTATCTCTCCTGGAGGACGGGTTGGCCTCCCTGCACACCCAGTATCTCTCCTGGAGGACGGTTGGCCTCCCTGCACACCCAGAATCTCTCCAGACCACCATGCAACATTACAATTACAACCAAATACTTTTTATGTCTTTATAAAATAATTCCCTCATTCAATGAACCAGGGATCCAATGGCTAAGGTGTGGGAGGTAGCTAACTGAGATGTTGATCTATTTGGAAGGTTAAAATATTAAGTGTTCCAGGGAGATCTTGACAGCGTACGAGCTACTTGTCAGTTAGGCTATTCTGATATATATATATATATATTTTATTTTTTTACTTTGTCAGAATTACATGGCCAGTATTGAATAGAGGAGAATCATAGCCAATGTTGAGCTCTTGAGACTGTTTAACAACTGGTGTGTGCAGCACTGGTTTAATCAACTGCTTGTTGGCCGTTTGGGATTATATGGTCGAAAGTTATTTTAAAACATCAGACATGAGTGACATTAACACATGCTAATAGCTAAATAGCTAACTAGCGAGAAGCAGCCAAACTACACTATGTTTTGAGTTGGTCATCTAGTTAGTCTGTGTATCATTATTTGACCTGCTGCGCAAGTCTCTCACTCTCCTCTCTCTCTCTTTCTCTATTTCTTCTTCAATTTATAGTTTTTATGTCAATCCCTGTTTATAGTTGTAGTAGTTAAAAAAAAAAAAAAAAAAAAAAAAAACGGATTACTTATAGTGTAAATCAAGCACTCTTTTGATTGTTTTTTTGCAGACGAGTTTGTTTTCAATCTATTCCAGTAATGCTCCAGCCCTTTGACTACGACCCCAATGAGAAAAGCAAACACAAATTCATGGTCCAGAGCATCTTTGCTCCTCCCAATGTTGCCGAGATGGATGCAATGGTGAGTGGTTCTAACTTGTTACTGTCGTGATCTGCCACATCAAGGGTATTCTAATTACATTTTACATTTTAGTCATTTAGCAGACGCTCTTATCCGGAGCGACTTTACAGGAGCAAGTAGGGTTAAGTGCCTTGCTCAAGGGCACATCGACAGATTTTTCTCCTAGTTGGCTCGGGGATTAGAACCAGCGACCTTTCGTTTACTGGCACAACGCTCTTAACCACTAAGCTACCTGCCGCCCCTACGAGGTCTGGACTACTGCTGGTTTTGTGTTTTTTACCTGATAATTAATTGCACCCAGCTGGTGTCCCAGGTCTAAATCGGTCCCTGATTTAGAGGGGAAGAAAGAAAAAAAAGTAGTGGTACTGACTTCGATCTTACACCTCACTGTGTTATCTATGACTTAACCCAGTCGTGGTAGTTTCCCCTCTAGTCCAGCAGAGGGCAGCAACAGTCGTGGTAGTTTCCCCTCTAGTCCAGCAGAGGGCAGCAACAGTCGTGGTAGTTTCCCCTCTAGTCCAGCAGAGGGCAGCAACAGTCGTGGTAGTTTCCCCTCTAGTCCAGCAGAGGGCAGCAATCCTCTGTCAAAACCAAGCCCATTCTCTGAATCTCTCCTCTACTGCAGTTTATCTCCCCACACAACATCACAGTGACAACAAGTACAGGGAAGATATCTACAGAGCTTCAATGATTGGCTAAGAGCTGAATAGTTGAATGATAATGGAATAGTTTGTTGCAAGATTTCTCCTCCACCCGCCATGGTCTGTCTGTCTGTCTGTGTGTGTGTGTGTGTGTGTGTGTGTGTGTGTCTGTGTGTGCGAGAGAGAGAGAGATGGGGTGTGTATATAGAGTTCAGCTGCTAGTAGTTTAGTCTGATGAATAACATGCGTATGTATTCCTCCCCTCCCCTCTTCCAGTGGAAAGATGCAAAACCAGATGATCTCATGGATTCCAAGCTGAGATGTGTATTTGACCAGCCTTCTGAAAACAATAAAGTGGTAAGTCCTGCTGCTGCTCCAACGCACAGAGGAGGGAGGGAGGAGGGAGGGGGAGGAACGGAGGAACAGAGGGAGGGGGAGGAACGGAGGGAGAGCGAGAGGGAGGAACGGATGGAGAGCGAGAGGGAGGAAACGGGGGAGGAATCGTGAGGGAGGAGGGCGGACGGAGGGATGGGGAGGAACATAGGGAAGGGTGGAAATGGAGGACCAGGAGGGAGGAGGAAGGAGGTGAGGGGGGAGGACGGAGGGGAGGGAGTGTAGGATGACGGAGGAGGAGTTTTTTCGTTATTGTGTAGAACGAGTTGTATTGATTTATATCTTGAGCAATGAGTTACAATCTTGTTACCACTTTCCATCTCAACATAACCAAATGCCACCATTTGTGTTTTTGGAGAGAGCGCGAGCGAGGGTTAATAATTTCTACCAGTCTGCCTGTTATCACTTTCATATGCACATTTCAATTATGATAACGTCTTCATATCTTATAATCATTGTCATGTGGCTAAATCTAAATTCTATCTAAATGAAAATGATACAAATCTAAAAGTTCAAAATAATGTAATGTAAAGACGCCTGCCTCCACCAAATGGACACCTTGTATCTGCTAGCTGTTGGCTGTTGGCTGGAGAGGTGCCAAGACCAGAAGAGCCACATTTGCTATTTAATGCAACAGTTTTTCTGACAAAACTATCGGTAGAGTTGAAAATGCGACGTAAACACATTGAACAACAGTACTTGTTATCTTTCATTAAAAAAAATATCTTTGATTTGAGCCTGCCCAGATGTTTGGTGTTTGCATTTGTGGGATTATTTCGATGGTTATATTGCAGCCAGGCAAACTCAAGTCAGCATCAGATAAAGTACTTGGGGGGGAAAAACAAGTACTGTTTGAACCCCAGGTCTAGTCTGGACAGTGTCCTAACCTCCTGTCCTCAGCACCAGACCAGCACCTGGTCCCAGATCTGTTTGTGCCGTCTGGCCAACTCAAATGGTCACTAGTTGGCCAGACAGCACAAACAGATCTGGCTAAGGACACTGCTGGGTTTTTCTTTAGTGGTTTTTCTTTTTAACGTTCTCCATGTCTGCAAAAGGCACCCTATTCCCTATATAGTGCACTACTTGTGACTAGAGCCCTTTTTTGAAGCCCTGGTCAAAAGTAGTGCGCTAAATATATAAGGGTGTCATTTGGGACGTGACCTTAGTGGTTTCTCTCTCCGTTGTCCTTCCATCCAGAATGAGGTGGATGCCAGCAGCAAAGCGGCAGCCCCTGTGCTGAACTTGTCCAAGGCGGTGGACGGTCCCGTGGTAACAGCGGCTAAGACCATCAGCGCCTCGATGGACGACTCCGAGATGAAGAAACTAACGGAGGAGTGCAAGAGACTGCGAGCTGAGATGGACAAGCTGACCAACGAGAACCTACAACTCAAGGTAAGGCCTCGAGGTTATCTCTGCCGTAGAGACTGCCAGAGGTAGACAGTGAGTACGGTTACATGCACACGATAATACGATTGTTGATGGTCAGATTTAATATAATAGTTGTTTAAAACGTTTACATGCTTTTGCAAGAATAATGATTTCCCTAATAATCCTGTTTCCATCCAAATGAACATTCTCCCACAAGCGACCATGTTATTGTTTGCGAAGCCTATTTGATTCTGAGTTCGGACATGTGAAAACTAAGATTCATAATGTCGGTTTTTCCGAACTCACTTCACTCACGCACAAGAGGGAGGCTTGGCACATGCGCAGATCAGATACGCTGCTGGTCGCGCCCAATGAGCTTTCTGCTAATTAGAAAGATTTCTCAGAAAAGCAGGTTTTAATTGCCGTATGTTCACTTCCATTTTGACTTAACGGCGATTTTTAAAGATGAGCAGAGTAAGGTGTTTACGTGACTGTTGCCATACTCGGCCTTCTGACACAATCAGTTTAATATCGAATTATAAGTGTGTAGGTAAACGTACTTATTAACTAGAAGACTATTGTAACTGTTAGCAACGAGGTTACTAGGTAAACAGGAGACTGCAGGCTGAGATGGGGAAACTGACAGAACAGACAACTCATCGTTTAGAGGCACAGATAGATTCACAAGCTTAACCGACAACTCAAGGTTAGTCACATATTATTGTTGGGGCGATAGCATTGGTTGAAGCTCGATGTTAAATTCAAACCATATCTAAGCCAATGTGACACCAATGTCAATGAACATTTGTAAATCAACTTGATTGGACGAACACAACCCACTCCCCCGCCCCTCGTCATGCGCCGTCCAACCGTTACCGAGAACCACATATTGGATTAAAAAAAATATATATATACAATTTCTTGCCCCGACTAGCTCAATATCTTGGCATCGGGTAAGAACGAGACTACATCGTCCATAAAGTGACCGTTAGACTTGCCACCTTTTCAGACTGAATAAAATTGTAGGGGGCAACAGTTTTGATTAAATATATAATTTATCGCTCTCACATGCTCATTTTCTGTCCATTTTAAAAACCAACGAGGTGCTACCTTTTTGTAGCATGCTAACATATTTTCAGCCAAATCTCTTGAGTTCTAAAACCGGACCAAACACTTGGGTTGCACAGCAACAGCGCTAGTAGCTAGCGAACACCAGTCGGATGAGAGGCTACAATAAAAAGCTAGCTAGATTTTGCTATGAAAGGTTTTTCACATGGCTGTGTAAACTGGCTGTGTAAACTGGCTGTGTAAACTGGCTGTGTAAACTGTTGGCTTTGACACTTTCATGTAATCAGAGCACAAACAAATAAGCATAAATAAGATGGCGAACGTCCTTCGCTACTATTGCCAGTTAGCTAGCTAACTAACGTGAGCCAGTAACGTTAGCTAGCTAACTAACGTGAGCCAGTAACGTTAGCTAGCTAGCTTCAAGCCGACAAGGGGTTAACATTAGCTGTATGGACAGATTGCGATGCACCGGCACAACTCAATGTTTTTTTTTTTGTCATTTAGCAGACGCTCTTATCCAGAGCGACTTACAGGAGCAATTAGGGTTAAGTGCCTTGCTCAAGGGCACATCGATAGATTTTTCACCTAGTCGGCTCAGGGATTAGAACCAGCGACCTTTCGGTTACTGGCACTACGCTCTTAACCACTAAGCTACCTGCCGCCCATGTTGACTTTCTCCCACATTTTTCCACAAAGCACAGCTAGCTAGCTAAGTAAAGTTAATAGTCAACACCAAAACTTTGGGAACCTGTCACACTGCTAATGTATAATACATGCAATGGGCATTGCTCATCTAACGTTAAAGTTAACGTTACTCCATACACTAGTCAACCTAGCTTGCTTAGCAATGTAGCTAGCTAACTTTACAGCCCTTACCTTATGCATTAATTCAGCACGCTCCCTCTGTCAATGACATTTTCTTGTCATTATACGCCAGATTTGCTCTGACTAACAGTGTCAAGTTACTTTTCAATGTGTTCCCATCCAAGTAAAAAGTAGCCAGGGGGTGCTGGTGCACCCAGGTTAAAATGACACCAACATCATTGCTTGCGCGACCTTTGCGCAGGCAAAAGAAAACACCATGCTTGCCAACATGGTTAGCTATGTGAATGTTTTCAACACACCAACTGTTTTTAGACTGTTTTGTAACCAACCAAGCAAGATAGACGACAACATACTGTCCATTTTTAAATACTGCCAAATTCTCTAAAACAAAATTGGAGGCGGCTTATGGTAGATAAATGAACATTTAATTATCTGGCAACAGCTCTGGTGGACATTCCTGCATTTAGCATGCCAATTTCACGCTCCCTCAACTTGAGACATCTGTGGCGTTGTGTGACAAAACAGCACATTTTAGTGGCCTTTTTATTGTCCCCGGCACAAGGTGCACCTGTGTAATGATCATGCTGTTTAATCATCTTCTTGATAATCCACCTGACAGATGGATGGATTATGTTGGCAAAGGAGAAACGCTCACTAACGGGGATGTGAACAAATATGTGCACAGTAGCTATGTGGGTCTATTGTACTAAAAACAATATGAATGCAGGTTGCTTAGGATTCAAACCTTCTAATAACAGATCACATCAATATGGCTAGTTAACAAGCTAACTTGCAGGGGATAAACTAGATGGCTAAATGTTGTTTGATTTGCTTGCCATCTATACTATAGTGGTGATGACAACTTTACCAGGACGAGGACTTGCCGACATCAAACTCTTTCCAAAAGCCAGATGTATATAGGCTACCCTCAATTATCTGAAAATACACGATCACTTGATGTTTACTGATCATGAAAAGCATAACAGTTACTTGCTGTATAATTATGATGGAGCTAAATGTGGAATAATCAGAAATGTGTAGTTCTGACTATACTCTTCAAGAGGTGACGATATTAAAACCAAATAGTTACATTTATTCAACAAACCCTTGAAAACGGTATGTAGCGGAGCTGGGGGTCGCCCTGCCTTGCACCGTAATGTGACGTTTTATTGGTAACTGATAACTACAGGTTTAGGGTCATAGATGAACAAGACTGCAGGCTGAAATGGGAAAAACTGACTTAGGAGAACAGACTGATTTGAACTGTTAGCAACTAAGGGTTAGTCGGTACATAGTATTTAAAGGGGAAACTAAACAGAAGAAGCAGCAGTTAAACGTTTTCTGTAGAGAACTACTACTATTTCCTTGTTTGATCTTTTTTTTTTCTTGTGTTGTGCAGTGTTTGATATGTGCATCCCCCTCCTCTCTTCCCTATCTTTCTCGCTCCCTCTCTCCTCTTTCCCCATCTCTCCTTTCTCTCTTTCCCACTTTCTTTCTCCTCTCTCGCTCTCTCCTCTTTCTTTCTCGCTCTCCTCTCTCTCTTCTTTCCCTCTCCTTTTTCTCCTCTCTCCCCCCTCACCCATCTCTCCTCTTTCTCCTCTCTTTCTCCTCTCTTTCTCTCCTCTTTCTCTCCTCTTTCACCGTCCCGGGAAACATTTGGATGACCACACCAGTGCCTTCTCCTTGGTGTATCCCAAGTCGTTTCCACTGAGGTGGATGACTAGGATGTCAGGGAGAAGTAGCTCAGGTCCTCTGCTGGTGCAGAACACAGAGCAGTTTGTGTCACTTCATGCCTTGCTCTCTGAGCCACCTAATGTGACAGTCTATGTATGGAAACAGTTCATGCTACATGTTGATTATTGGTGTGTTTTCCAGGAGCTCGTCTTAAGACATCAGTTTACTCCATATTGGCTTAAATGGGTTTCTGGTTTTTCGCTTCTCTGGAATATCAGCTGTTTTAATATTAAATAAGTACTAATAACCACGTTATTTCTGTTGCCATTTAACATTGTGTATTTCTACTTTACTTGTAACCCTCCTTTCTCGTTGTCTCACTATCTCCTATCACTCTCCTCTCTCTCCCTTCTCCCCCTTCTCTCTTCTCTCCACTTCCCCCCCCCTCTCTCTCTCTCTGGCCCTCTCTCTCTCTCTCTCTGGCCCTCTCTCTCTCTCTCTCTGGCCCTCTCTCTCTCTCTCTCTGGCCTCTCTCTCTCTCTCTCTCTGGCCCTCTCTCTCTCTCTCTCTGGCCCTCTCTCTCTCTCTCTCTCTGGCCCTCTCCTCTCCTCTCTCTCTCTGCCTCTCTCTCTCTCTCTCTCTGGCCCTCTCTCTCTCTCTCTCTCTGGCCCTCTCTCTCTCTCTCTCTATGGCCACTCTCTCTCTCTCTCTCCTGCCCTCTCTTCTGGCCCTGCTCTTCTCTGGTCCCTCTATCTCTGGGCCCTCTCTTCTCTCTGGCCCTCTCTCTCTCTGGCCCTCATCTCTCTGGCCTCTCTCTCTGGCCCTCCTCTCTCTCTCTCTCTCTCTCTCTCTCTCTCTCTGTCTCTGTCTCTGTCTCTGTCTCTGTCTCTGTCTCTGTATCTGTATCTGTCTCTGTCTCTGTTCTGTCTCTGTCTCTGTATCTGTCTCTGGCTCTGGCTTGGCTCTGGCTCTGGCTCTCTCTCTGGCTCTCTCTCTGGCTCTCTCTGGCTCTCTCTGGCTCTCTCTCTGGCTCTTCTCTGGCTCTCTTCTGGTCTCTCTCTGGCTCTCATCTGGCTCTCTTGCTCTCTCTCCTCTCTCTCTATCTCTCTCTCTCTCTACTCTCTATCTCTCTCTCTCTCTCTCTCATCTTCTATCTCTCTCTAGCTCTCTCTCTCTCTTCTCTATCTCTCTCTCTCTCTCTCTCTATCTCGGACCTCCTCTCTCTACTACTCTCTCTCTGGCCCTCTCTCTCTATCTCTCTCTCTCTGGCCCTCTCTTCTATATCTATCCTCTCTCTCTACTACTACTCTCTCTCTCTTCTCTCTCTCTCTGGCCCTCCTCTATCTCTCTCTCTCTCTCTCTCTCTCTCTCTCTACTACTCTCTCTCTCTGGCCCTCCTCTATCTCTCTCTCTCTCTCTCTCTCTCTCTCTCTACTACTCTCTCTCTCTGGCCCTCCTCTCTCTATCTCTCTCTCTACTACTCTCTCTCTCTCTCTACTACCTCTCTCTCTCTCTCTCTCTCTCTCTCTCTCTCTCTCTCTCTGGCCCTCCTCTCTCTCTCTCTCTCTCTCTGGCCCTCCTCTCTCCTTTTTCTCCTGTCTCCTCTTTCTACCCATCCAAGGACGACGGTGTTAGAATGAGAAGGGCTGCCCAGCGTTCTGACCACATGGCATCAAACCAGACTGGCTCCTCCTCCTCCTCCATGATGCAACAGACGACCTCCCTTCCCTCTCTCCTCGTTGTCATAGCAGCCATCTTCATCGGATTCTTCATTGGGAAGTTTATCTTGTAAACTGGAGCTCTGAAACGGCACCCTATTCCCTATGTAGTGCACTACTTTTGAACAGAACTGATAGGGAGTCCCATAAGGCTCTGGTTAAAAATAGTGCACTACGTGGGGAATAGGGTGCCGTTTCGGACAGAGCGCCCTGGGAGACTCAAGACAACCCCTCGGCTCCGGAATCAAAATGCCTAGATGGAACTGACTAAACCAAGAAGAAGTCGTCTTTCTGTTGACTCTGTTGCCATATCAGAAGTAGTGCTCTGTCTGCAGTAGCCACGTCGTCTGTCTGCTCTGCATCAGAAGTACCAGGGCCCCGCTGCCTTTTTACAAGCGCTTACACGGTTAGTGTACACACAGAGGAAGGAAGGAAGGAAGGAAGGAAGGAAGGAAGGAAGGAAGGAAGGAAGGAAGGAAGGAAGGAAGGAAGGATGGATGAGAGAGGAAAAAGATTGCTCCATTTTAGTTTTTCTGCTTTTTTGATGGACAGACAGGTTTGTGCAGGTATGAGGTATACGTCCCAAATATTACCCTATTCCCTTTTATAGTGCACTACTTTTATGGGCCCTGGTCAAAAGTAGTGCACTATAAAAGGAATAGAGTGCCATTAGGCACACACAGGAAGTGGTACACTATCGATCAACATGGAGGACACTGTTAGAATACGTCAGTAGCGTTCATACCTTATTTTGAGGTAAGCAAAGATCTACAAGTGGTTAGAAAAGCAAGGTTCTATTACTTCCACCAATTCAGATCTGTGATTACTTCAAGGAACTATGGGTAGAAAGGAACTATGGGTAGGAAGGAACTATGGGTAGGAAGGAACTATGGGTAGGAAGGAACTATGGGTAGGAAGGAACGAACTATGGGTAGGAAGGAACTATGGGTAGGAAGGAACTATGGGTAGGAAGGAACTATGCATTTCTTTAGTATTGGAACAGGGCCCTAGAGTCTCATCATGGGGCATGAAGCAGTCAAATAAACCAATCGTCTTCTCTCTCTGTTTTTTTTTTGTAGAAGTTGAATGAAATGTTAAGTGTAAATGTTATTTCTCTCTACCCCTCCTCTCTCTCTCTCTCTCTCGCCCACCTCTCTCTCTCTCTCTCTCGCCCTCCTCTCTCTCTCTCTCTCTCTCTCTCTCGCCCACCTCTCTCTCTCTCTCTCTCTCTCTCTCGCCCACCTCTCTCTCTCTAATCCTTTTAAAAGGCGAGAACTACTTCTTCCATTGTCAAAACACCGACCGCCTCGCTTCTTAATGCAGGATCGCCTCTGAAATAGTCTGTCCAAAGTGGTACTACTATTCCCTATATAGTGCACTATATAAGTACACTATCGTTCAAAAGTTTGGGGTCACTTAGAAATGTCCTTGTTTTCGAAAGAAAAGCTATGTTTTTGTCCATTTAAAACAACATCAAATTGATCAGAAATACAGTGTAGATGTTGTAAATGGCTATTGTAGCTGGAAACAGAATAGAAAGAGGAGTGGGAGGCCCCAATGTCAACAGTGAAGAGGCGACTCCGGGATGCTGACCTTCTAGGCAGAGTTGCAAAGAAAAAGCCATATCTCAGACTGCCCATCTTCATCTTTTATTTTTATTGACCAGTCTGAGATATGGCTTTTTCTTTGCAACTCTGCCTAGAAGGTCAGCATCCTGGAGTCGCCTCTTCACTGTTGACCTTGAGACTGGTGTTTTGTGGGTACTATTTAATGAAGCTGCCAGTTGAGGACCTGTGAGGCGTCTGTTTCTCAAACTAGACACTAATGTATTTGTCCTCTTGCTCAGTTGTGCACCGGGGCCTCCCACTCCTCTTTCTATTCTGATTAGAGCCAGTTTGCGCTGTTCTGTGAAGGGAGTAGTACACAGCGTTGTATGAGATCTTCAGTTTCTTGGCAATTTCTCACATAGAATGGCCTTCATTTCTCAGAACAAGAATAGACTGACGAGTTTCAGAATAAAGTTATTTCTGGCCATTTTGAGCCTGTAATCAAACCAACAATTGCTGATGCTCCAGATACTCAACTAGTCTCAAGAAGGCCAGTTTTAAGCTGTGCTAAGATAATTGCAAAAGGGTTTTCTAATGATCAATTAGCCGTTTAAAATGATAAACTTGGATTAGCAAAAACAACGCGCCATTGGAACACAGGACTGATGGTTGCTGATAATGGGCCTAGGTAGATATTCCATTAAAAATCAGCCGTTTCCAGCAACAATAGCCATTTACAACATTAACAATGTCTACACTGTATTTCTGATCAATTTTATGTTATTTTAATGGACCAAAAAAATTAGCTTTTCTTTCGAAAACAAGGACATTTCTAAGTGACCCCAAACTTTTGAATGGATATATATATATATATATATATTAAATAGGGTGCCATTTGGGTACGCAGACATTTTGTCATTTCTCTACGACTCTCTGGGTCCATCTGGGATATAATAGGTCCCTCCTTCCTTGTACATTTCTGTCCAATCAACAGACTTTATATTATTATTATTCGTTTTTTTTTCTCTCAATACAAATCATATTATATCCCTCCCTCCCTTCCGAGGCAAATGTTCTTAACCTTGTCCCTCCCATAAACATTGAAGAAATAAAACTGAAAACAATGTTGTTCTGATGGCCGTCTTCTCTCTTCAGACATACACATCATACAACGTCACCATGTAGCCGACGTCTTTTGTTTGCTAACGAATATCTAGATAAATATTGTTTGATAATACAAACATCTATTCACTGGACCTAGCTCCTCAGCCTTGTCCCCAGGCTAATTGCTACATAAAGTGCATTCGTAAAGTATTCTGACCCCTTCACTTTTTCCACATTTTGTTACGTTACAGCCTTATTCTAAAATTGATCAATCTACACACAATACCCTATAATGACATAGCGAAAACAGGTTTTTAGAAATGTTGGCAAATCTATAAAAAAAAAAAAAAACATACCTTAGTTATTACGTAACTATTCAGACCCTTTGCTATGAGACTGGGAGACTAGTCAGGATCGAGGGAAAGATGAATGGAGCAAAGTACAGAGACATCCTTGATGAAAACCTGCTCCAGTGTGCTCAGAACCTCAGACTGGGGCGAAGGTTCACCTTCCAACAGGACAACGACCCTAAGCACACAGCCAAGACAATGCAGGAGTGGCTTCGTGACAAGTCTCTGAATGTCCTTGAGTGGCGCAGCCAGAGCCCGGACTTGAACCCGATCAACATCTCTGAAGAGACCTGAAAATAGCTGTGCAGCAACGCTCCCCATCCAACCTGACAGAGCTTGAGAGGATCTGCAGAGAAGAATGGGAGAAACTCCCCAAATACAGGTGTGCCAAGTTTGTAACGTCATACCCAAGAAGACTCGAGGCTGTAATCGCTGCCAAAGGTGCTTCAACAATTTACTGAGTAAATGGTATGAATACTTATGTAAATGTGATATTTATTTTTTATTTATTTTGTTCCAGAAATGTCATCCTGTTTTTGCTTTGTCATAATGGGGTATTGTGTGTAGATTGAGAAGAAAAAATAAAACCAATTTAATCCATTTTAGAATAAGGCTGTAACGTAACAATGTGGAAAAAGTGTAGGGGTCTGAATACTTTCCAAATGCACTGTATAATCTACAGAGATCCGGACGAGACCCCTACTAAATTGGTAAATTGCTTTCTTGGCCCTCCATTTAAAAAAAATATCAAAAAATAATAATAATCTAATCCCATGTGGGATGTATTACTGTATAATTGCATTGGGGGCGTACTCCACTGAGTATACAGAATATTAAGGACACCTCTTTCCATGACATAGACTGACCAGGTGAATCCAGGTGAAAGCTATTAAATCCTTATTAATGTCACTTGTTAAATCCACTTCAATCAGTAGATGAAGGGGAGGAGACAGGTTAAATAAGGATTTTTTAAAGCCTTGAGACATGGATTGTGTATGTGTGCCATTCAGAGGGTGACTGGGCAAGACAAAAGATTTAAGTGCCTTTGAACGGGGTACGGTAGTAGGTGCCAGGCGCACCGGTTTGTGTTAAGATCTGCAACACTGCTGGGTTTTTCACGCTCAACAGTTTCCCGTGTGTATCAAGAACGGTCCACCTCCCAAAGGACATCCAGCCAATTTGACACAACTGTGGGAAGCATTGGAGTCAACATGGAGCCAGCATCCCTGTGGAACGCTTTCGACACCTTGTAGAGTCCACGCCCCGACGAATTGAGTCTGTTCTGAGGGCAAAAGGGTGGGTGGAACTCCAACATTAGGAAGGCGTTCTAATTTCTCCGTGTATGTGCCCAGTACAGCCTTACTTCAGCCGACTCTGTGACACCCACAGATTACAATTCCAAAGAGTTTACACAAATATTAGCGTTTTAGCTCTTCTAGCGGGACTCTGAAACCACTGAGCCACGTTAAGGTTACCAGGCGACCTATTCCGTGTAACGAACATTCACATTAGACCGTACAGCCTTACCCGTAGAGCAGGGGTGTCAAACTCATTCCATGGAGGGCCTCTAGTGTCTGCTGGTCTTTGGTTTTTCCTATCAATTAAGACCTAAACAACCAGGTGAGGGGAGTTCCTTACTAATTAGTGACCTTTTAATTCATCAGTCAAGTACAAGGGAGGAGTGGAAACCCGGCAGACACTCGGCCCTCCGCGGGAAGGAGGAAGGAGTTTATATAGTGTGTACCACTCGTCTAGAAGACGGGTTGGTTGTTTAGCAACAAAACCGACGTGCGCGCAACTATGGGGCAAAACAGACGGCGTTTGGCTTAGATTGTTAACATCTAAACAATATTTAGTCTCCAATGTCTTTGAAAACATAGTTACACAATGAGCAGTTGTCTCTCAAATTCATTGTTACAGTTGTTGTTTAGCTAGCTAGCTAGCTAATGTTAGCCATATTAGCATAGATGTGACATCAGTCAAAACACCTCAAAACAAGACACAGTATCAAGAACAAGATAAAACTGGCTGAAACGAATCCCTTACGATTCCCCACATGGCAGTTTCTTGTCATTGTTGGTAGTTATCTGGCCATCCAGAATCACAACACATGACTTTGTGCCCCATTTGAAGCGTGTGGATCGTTTTCGTGACGTCCGCTAAACCTGTCTGTTTGCCGAGCGAAACGTGCGTGTGGTGCACCCTTATGCAGACTGGACAACAAATGGCAGCTGGGGGCAACATGTCTTTGGGCATCATTGGCAAGTAATCCACACACAACCCTCCAGTAAGTCGACGAACTCACAAAAACACAATTCTGGACGAGACTGACTTTATGACCCAAATTACCCTACTTACATTAGTCAATTCTGACACTAGAATTAATGTTTCTGACTCATATCAATTC